AAGCTGTTGATCCACTGACAGACGGAGGTGGGCACAGAGAGCTGAGTTAGTTTAGGCAGGAGGAGGTTTGGGATGATAGTGTTAAAAGCCGAGCCGAAGTCCACAAACAGGATCCTCACATAAGTCCCTGGTCTGTCTAGATGTTGCAGGATGTAGTGTAGTCCCATGTTGACTGTATCATCCACAGACCTGTTTCCTCTGTAGGCAAACTGCAGGGGGTCCAGTGAGGGTCCAGTGATGTCCTTCAGATAAGCCAAAATCAGTCTTTCTAACACAGGTTTAGCTGATTTCAGTTTCTGCCTGTAGGTCGGTATAAGATGAACTAAACAGTGATCAGAGAGCCCCACAGCTGCCCGTGGGATGGAGCGATATGCATCCTTTATTAGCACATCTTCTTTAACACTGTTACATCTGTACACCACCTTTCGTTGATGTAAAAACGTCCCGCTGCCGCGTGATTTCCCCGTTGATTCTGCGTCGCAGGTCCGCTCTGAACAGCTGAAAGCCCGGCAGATGTAGTGCGCTGTCCGGAATGGCGTCATTCAGCCATGTTTCTGTGAAACACAGAGCAGCAGAGTTTGAAAAATCCTTGTTTGTCCGGGAGAGCAGAAGAAGTTTGTCCGTTTTGTTGGGTAGAGAACGGAGATTCGCCAGATGGATGCTAGGCAACAGCGTCCGAAATCCGCGCTGCCTGAGCTTCACGAGCGCGCCAGCTCGCTTCCCCTGTCTGCGCGTCCTAAAGCGCTTGACGAGCGTCGCTGCTCCGCCAACTACAACATTCAGCAAAACGTCCGAATAATCGAAATCCGGTAGAAGATTCTGTGGTGTGTTCTGCCAAATGTTCAGCAGTTCATCCCTGGTAAAACTGATCTTGTCTGAGAAACAAAAGACAGGAAAAACTAACAAAAACAGTACAAACACTGGAGAGCCAAGCACTGAGGCAGCCGTCTGCGGCGCCATGTTGTTCCTGCTAAATCAACTCTCATACTTTCAAGCTCTATCAAACTTTTATGATGTGATCTCCACCCCTGAACTTTTCACACCCAAATTCAGTTTTCATGTTACAGTCTTGCACCATTAAGCTGTACTGCAGTGGAGCATGTGGAGGAAGTAAACACAGACACGGATTGCCCAGCATTTCCCTCCTTAACCTAATCCGTGCAGAGGAAGACAAATGTCCCGCTGTTGTCCCATGAATAATGGAGAGCAGCTCTGCTATTTATAACTGACACATGAGTGTTTTATCAGCAAAATAATCACCTGGAACAGGGCGGCACAATAAACCTACAGACTTGGCACCTCTGAATAATGCATGACTCAATCAATGTTTTAAATCATTTTATCTATAGACGACTACAACGTCAAGTGACCCTTGACCTTCTCACCTTGAGTGAAACACTCATTAGAGAAAAGGTGTGGAAACAAAGACGTTGGAATACTAGCGTACTTCCTCACTAGATACCCTGCACAATTTTATTGTGTAACCATTACGATACTGCAGAATATAGTGTAAACCAGTGAATTTTGTTTTTTTCCACTGGGGGGCCATAGGATGAAATTATATTTATTATTATTATATTTAAAAAAAAAACTAACTTAAATGCAGTGTTAAAAATTAAAATATATCAAGATTGATAATTGATTTATTCAATTGAAGAACGTACCACATCAGGATCTTGAATCTTCTGGAACAGTTTCTGTTCATTAAAAGTTTAAAAACAAGCCACATTGTCATAATTATAATAGAAATACCAGAGAAAATATCTTCAAAATCAAAAAGGTTGAGAACCACTGATGTACACTACATATATATTTTTAAACTCAGTGTGAAACTAAATAAAAAATTAATAAAATAATTTATTGTAAGCATAATAAATATGATGCATTTGTAATACAGTAAATAATAATAAATTAAAATGCTTATTCATCCAGTTTTGAATAAAGATGCCTTATTTTTAAGCCATCAAATCAAATTGTTATTCATTCACTGAAAATGGACGAGCAAGTCAAGTACTATATTTTGCATTGTGTGATACAGTATTTCTCTCAGTGAGCTTGGTTCTATTCCATGCATGCTGAAATCACCTACTGTGCACGGTATGCATACTGTATATGGCAGAAAAAGAAAAAGTAGTATGCACTTTCACACATAGAGGTGTTTTTTCGAGGGAGCGAGTGTGTATTGTTGGACTGCCCAGTGCACAAGCTCCTCACAGACCTCCGCCAAATTAAACTTAAGAAATTCATGAGATCTTGGAACCTTGAAAAAACATTTGCATTGATCAAGGATTTGCTGGCAGGCAAGGCCTAGTTTTCACATGCTGCCGTTCCAAGGTCCTGCTGGCTTAGCCGTCTAATTCCTGCCTGTTTGTTAAAGCTCATGAAGCTCAGAGCCGGAATAACTAATGAAACCGATCCTTCCTCTCATGTCGGATTACGTCAAAAAATCAATAAAGGATCAAACAACTTAAAGAGGAGTCGAGAGAAGTACAGAGAGCGTTGTTGTTTTTTCCCAGGCTTGAGAGTGTGCATTTGTGCATTTGTGACCTGGCCTTCTGAGGACGACAGCAACAGCAGAAAAGAAGTGCATATAATTTTCAGCCCATGTCCCTAAGGAAGCTAAATGAATAATCATAAATATTGAAATGAAGTGTCCGCCAGTCTTTTTTCCCTTTATTTTCATCAATGCATCAGTCCTTGGAAGGCATTTGGTTCAGGTATGTGATCTTTATCTCACGGTTTCTCCCTATTTAACCCTCTTTCCTTTTCCCTGCACCTCACAGTGGCAATCCTGTTGAAGGATGATTATTTTGTGAGAGGAGCCGGGCTACCGGGCCGCTTCAAAGCCGAGAAGGTGGAGTTCCACTGGGGCCAGAACAATGGTTCCGATGGCTCGGAGCACAGCATCAATGGCAGGAGATTCCCTGTGGAGGTGAGCCTCAACTAATCTCTCTCTGACGTCTGTTCCATATCTAAACAACCCAGCTCCACAAACTTCCAACTCTGGCCTATACTTGCTTTATTTTGCAAGGTATGCTACTTTTTGAAATGGCACTCTTACTTGGGACTTTATCTCAAGAACATTCAACATTTTAACAATGCTATACATTTCAAATGGCCCTAGATTTGTTATGCTTCAAGGGTATTTTGCCTATGAAGTTGTCCACAATAAAATGTATAAGAGTGTCCACAATAAAAAAATTTAAAAAAAGATCTAAAAAAATATCATGTGGTGTAACCAATAAGTGAAAAGTAAAATTTTGCAAGGTATGCTACTTTTTGAAATGGCACTCTTACTTGGGACTTTATCTCAAGAACATTCAACATTTTAACAATGCTATACATTTCAAATGGCCCTAGATTTGTTATGCTTCAAGGGTATTTTGCCTTTGAAGTTGTCCACAATAAAATGTATAAGAGTGTCCACAATAAAAAATTTAAAAAAAGATCTAAAAAAATATCATGTGGTGTAACCGATAAGTGAAAAGTAAAAACATATTTACCTTACACCTTGAGTACATGCACAGTAAATATACGTGAATATATAAATATATTTTTCAAGGTAAAATATTTTTTTTTTAGTTCTAACACGACATTTTACAATCTGAACTAAACTAGCCTTGTAACTTTATGCTCTTAAAATGAAAAGAATTGAAAAACATGGTCATCATAAAAGGGGTATTTTTAATTAATTGTACTGATTTTTTGTGTATTTTTTTATTTAATTAATAGAAAAGGGAAAAAAGAGCATCACGTCATTGAGCTCTCAAAGTCTAAAATGAGCTTTATCTGGACTTTGGTAGCCTTCACATAATGAATGAATGGTGAATGGTGCATTTATATACATAGAGGGAAGTCAGAAAATAGAATCATGGTGGAGAGGAGGAACGGTTGGCATCTCTTATAGAAGCGTGTAAAGGGCATTCCTGTATTGATTGAACAGGACATTATGGAGACGAGCTCTCTCTTAGATCTGATCACTGTCTGCTTGTGTCTCTCTTTGCCATTCTGATTTATCATTATGGCCGCCTGGCACCTTTCATGCACACTTGAGACTGCTTTTTATCACCCAGCCTCAAATATACAAGTGATCAGACTTTGGCCTGTCTTTCAACATTAAGTGTGATGAATATTGTTTGGTTTGTTGGTCGTAGTTTTATTGCCTCCCTCCCACCCAGCCTAATTTAGAGAGTAAAATATGTGGTCGTTGGCCTGCATTAGCGTCCCTCGTATTGGCAGTTTGATGTGGCTTGGTGTGATATGTCATCGCAGTACAAATCTTATTGGCACTGAAGGTCTCCTACTGCATTCTTCCAGCTACAGTATGTTGCTTGCTTGAAAAAGACATCTAATCTTGTAGAAAGGAATTTAGTACACGTTTCAAATCTTGTATTAAATATTAAGCAAATCAGAATATTTTACTTTTATGGAAAGAGATTTGCTGCAGCTGTGAGAGGCCAAAGTGCAAAAGTGATTTTAGAAATGACTGTATTCAGAACTGGATCAAAATGAAAAAAAGAAAAGAAATAAAAATAGCAGAACAAAATCTCTTTTTTTTGAGTTAATGATTCCTTTTAGTGAATGAAAACTAAGCAGCATGACAAACATATTCCAACCAGACGGAATGACTTTTATGAATCAGTTCTTTTTATTGAATCATAAGCAGCATGACCACCAGTTCCAGAACAAATTACATTAATGAGCTATTCTTTTTTTTTTTTTTTTTTGTGACTCAAAATGAAACAGCATGACCAGTGTAGTCCAATTGATTTCTGACTGAATGACCATTAGGAGCCAATTCTTGTTATTGAATCAAATCCATACAGCATGACAAGTGTAGTCCAACTAATTCCAGAACAAACAGTATAGTCTAACTAAATCCTTACTGATTGACCCGTATGAGCCAGTTCTTAGTGAATCAAATTCAGGCAGCACAACCAGTGCAGTCCAAATAAATAACTGATGAACCAAAGCATTTTGATTCCTACCAATTCCTGAACAACTGACCATTCCAAATGAGCCATTCTTTTTTTAGTGAATCAAACACATGATCCTTACAGTGTTGTATTTATGGCTTGAGAGACTCAAATCAGTGTAGTTAATGACAGGTCATCATACAACAGTTTAACTGTGGCTCATCTAATCAAATTTTAGAGTTGTAACTAACCATTTTATAAATCTGCCTTTGCAAGCATATATAGTCTTTGCGAGAGGCAAGTGATCAGTTAATCATGTAGCTTCAGCGGCAAATAGAGCAGACACTTTTTATTCAGATCGACTTTTGGAAAGTCTCACTAGAGCTATCTGTGTTTACGTTTCTCTGATGTCTGCCTGTAGTGTGTTTGACTTGTTTGGTCTGTCACATTTAGTGTCTTGTAGTCGATGTGAGTTGAGCCTGAAGCTCAGAGAATGTAGATGAGGCTGCTCTTTTCACTCTGTTACACAATCCTAGCTGTACAAAGAAAAAGACAAAGAGACAGACGTGAGAAAGAAGAGTTTGGAACATCACAGAGGCAGCAGAAACATAGTTGACAAGAAGAGAAATGCTAGAGGTAAGGTTAAGAACAAAACTGAACAACAAGATGGAAAAAAGGTCTATTATGAATTAGTCTTCACCAGCCAAAACGCTTGCTTACAGTCAACACGCTCGTTAATGAAACTAATTGAGTCTGAAAGCTAATTAAGGCTATCAGCAGTGGCGCTCGTGGTTTTCCTGGCATGAAGTCACGTGTTTTGGCCTGTGCTCTCTTCATGAAAGCTCTCAGCCCCAGATCCTTCAGACAACACTCATAGACAACAGTGTCACCTGTGGATTAAAGTTATTTACAAAAACCTACATTAACCATAAGTGCTCCTTTGGTTTCCTTAAAGTGGTCATGACATGATTTAGAGGGTGCAGACTGAGAGAAGAGGGCTCATTAAACTGAATTAATTGCACTAATTAGAACCACTGAAGAATTATTGAAAGACTAGGGATGGAGGGCTTTTATTGTTGTTGTTGTGGTTGCTATTGCGTGTCCGTTTCTCTTTGAGGCAGCTTTTTTCAAACCACAGATGTTAACTCATATTATGCTGGATGGCAATTAGCATGTCATTAGAATTATTAAAGTCACTTAAAAAAATAAATAATATCAATATTGTGTAGCTATGGACAGTGTCATCTACACCATTTTTATAAAACTACAGTACATGCAATATTGTTTTTACACAACAGGTGAATGAATTTAACACTGATAAATGTTTTAGACACAACTTTCTAGTTGCTCCACTAAAAGGAAATAGTTCCAAACTAAATCCAAGCAGAATGACTGTGATGCTTTTCCATGCAACACATCGTAGTTGTGTTCCTGAATGAATCTGTGTTTTTGAATGAAACAGTTGTGTGAATGATTCAATGACTCTCTCATACAGACAATCTCTTGTTTCTTTCCTGAATGAATCAGCACATTTATATGGACTTGCAGGCACAAAAACAAGATTTTGTGACCACATTTTAAGAATTTGTCCCCATGACTTATTCATTTGTTCCCTCATTTTAGTTCTATCATGAGAACTCTCTGAAGATTTTAGCATGGTAATGGATATGACAATGTTAATGTATTTGGTCTTGGATAGAATAGATCTGCTACGCTGCTGCTGCTGCTGAATTGCTGCTGCTGTTGGTTATTATTGCTGTAAGTACAGAAACTTGCTACTGCCATTACATAAGCCGATATGATGCTGTGAGTATTTAAGACATACTGCTGCTGCACACATAGCATCTAAAATAATCCGTAGCAGATATATACAGGTGGAGCTGGGGAAGGTGGAGGGTTTCAAAGGAACTCTGAAAGCGTTCTGCAATGCTCAAGTGAATGCTAATCAGCCATTTTAATGACTTAAATCTACATAAATGCATCTGTTCACGCGAATCATTCGTGATCCAGCTTCACCTACAGAAGAAGTGAGTATAAGGTTTTTTAACGAATCTTTGCAAATCGCCTTTCCTAATAATGTGCTAATTAGCAAGATTCATGATGAATGCAGCTAAATTAAACAGTCCCTCAGAGAGCGGCTCGGAAGAGAGGGGCGGGGTCAGCAGAGCTCATTAACATTTAAAGGAAAATGCTACAAAACTGCGTGCTCTGAAAAGAACTGTTTTTGACAGGGTAAAAAATGTTTTTTTTACACTACCATTGAGAAATTTTAACCAAACTATGTTACATACTTTTCATTAAGACCCTAAAGAATCATATCAACTTGTGGAAAATGGGCATCCTATGACCCCTTTAAAAGTTATTTAAAAACACTAGTATAATCACTATTTGTTATTTAAATCCATTCAAGGCTTATAAATATTTCCTAATATTTATTAGGTACTGTAATAAATACCTCCCATGGTATGTGTACACCTGGACGGAAGTCATTGCTTTTCAAGACCAAATAAAGGATGCTAGATTTCACAGAAAATGCTAAAAGCTGCTTTTGTTTGTTATTGATTGTTTGGATCAGTCAGTGTGAGCCAGACGAATTTGGGATTGTTTATTTGTTGATTCGTTTTTGTCCGTCTCTTATCTTCACTAAGTAATATTACAGCTCTGCTTAGATTATCAAACTGAGATTTTCAGGGAACCGCACATTGCCAAGTGCTCCCTCTTTGCATGCAGATAACTCCTCCACAAAGCATTCTGCATTACTGAGCCGCCCCGGCCCTGTTAACCAAAGAAGTTTTCATGTTTTTTGTTTTTCAAGTGTGGCAATTACTTTTGTTTTAGCTGGAGAGTCGACTGGAGACCTGAGGTAATTAAACGCTGCCCCGTGTGGAGGGCTGTTCAGAGCCTGACCGACAGCACTGCTTCTTTTGACAGAGCACCCAGTGGCCCTTGACTTCATTCTGAGAGCTGCCAGATCACTGTCATTATCACTGGGGAGAGCGCTCTCCATCCTTCACTC